AAAAACACAATGTTGACCAGTGTGTCAGATGAAGTAGTGTACTGCCCCTGTAGGAGAACAACAACAGCTCGCGAAATTGTAAAATCGGTGTTTTGACAAGACCCCAATGCATCCCAATTATTCGCGTTTTCGTTGGTCATAAGGCATTTTTAGCTACGCCAATGGTTTCAGACTAAGCTGGCCAAATCAGCCTGGGCATGTAATCTGGTGGGAAGGGGCTTACTTCCTGGATGCGATGGATAGTAATCAAAAACAAGCTTCCTCAAGGTCATCCGAACAGATCCGCCACTGACAAGTTGAGTGCTCACTGGCGATGCTAAAGTGAAGTAAAAAATGCAATATTTAGCAAAAAAAAAAATACATAAGAAAGGCTTCCTCAAGCGTAAAATTGAAATTAATAAACGAAAAACCACGACACTTACAAAAACATTTACCAAGAACAGATAAAAAAAGTTACGAGTAATCATCTTGTTAACTATTGTTTAGCACATTGTCAAGATTTGATTGGGGAGAAATGTGCACATGCGTCAGAATCCAGAAGGCTCACAGATTCTAAACACAGATGACAAATCTCGAATGCATCACTTGACTGTGATATGGGGAAATATTATGCGTTTATAGGGTAAACGAGTGTACAAAAATTGCTCTGTGTTAAACTGACTCCTTCAATGTGTGTAGTGAAAGCCGTGTTAAAAGGTTAATAGGTTTCAACAAGCTCACTGCGAAGAGTGTCCTCGCAAAAGTGTGTTTCAATAAGACTAGCTTGGAGATGGAAGGAGTCCTCCTTCACGTCGAAGAACTCGAAATATTGTATAAGACGGGGATCAGTTAGGCGATTAGGCACGGCTTGGTCATTGGATAAGCTTCGGGTGGCCAGACCAGTAGAACCACTGGACGAAGTAGTAGTAGGTAGCTGAACCAAGGGATTTTTGTAAAACGACAGTCAACATTTCAAAAGCTCGTAGAAAACAATAGAGACATTTTGTAGCAATGCCAGTCGATTAGACGGACATTTGAGAAATGTGTAAGAAATTGAACATTTGCGTAATAAAATGACTGCTACCGTGTTTTTATTTGGTCCAGTTCGTTTTTCCAACTCGGCTGCCAGTTGCATGGATTGTTTAATGGACTTGAGGAAGACAATAGCTGCCTCCAACTGGGAAACTGTGAGGACCCACAGAAGACTTTCCACCAACAAAACTAGCTTCCCGCACACAAATGAGGCATCTAAGCAAGAAATTTGAACAATGAATTGCCAAAAGCTGAAAGTCAATGTGATGAGACAAGAGAACTGGATAGATCACCAGAGAGCCGCTTCTTCAAAGTAATCCGAAGGCGAGCCCGATTTGTGATGACCTTGACAGGTGTCATACGATCGTCTAAACCATCAGCTTCGAAACGGGTGCTTTCCCAGGAAACTTCCTTGAAAATCAAAATGCTATTTCTTTCCGGTAAGGGAAGAAATGCAAAATTCAGTGGCCCTGATTCCCAATTAGGCTTCGTACTTGATATGGAAATGTGAGACAGCTATAATTCACAAGAAAATACCTCAAAAGCATTTAAGAAAAAACTTCGAAAGCAATACCAAAAATTTGCAGCCAAGCACTTTAAACTAAATAAAAACCTAATCGAGTCAAATGCCAATACACATGGTATCACTCAGCATCTAAATTAGTTTTCAAAAAATTGTCAAAAATAAATCATGGGATTGAACAAACATTTGCAGAGGCTTTGAAAAGTTTGGACTTCAGCTCGACATCTAATTCATGAATACGGATTGAAATCCCATCAATGGCGCGCTCAACCATACCATAACGTCCGTATGACGCACTAAGAAGAATAACATTAATGAATAGGATACCGGTAGGAAGAGACAGAATCACCATTGCTCATTTGATTTGCGTTTTCAAGGACCTCCATTTTCACGGTTACGCTATCGAAAATCTTAAAACTTGTATTATGTGAGAAATACTAAACCATAAGGATGGGACGAGAACGGAGATTTGTCCAGGGAATCTGCAAAGAGCGCAAGTTAACAGATCACGCGTTACCTTCATGTATATATGAGTGCATACAGCACTGTCTATCCGGAGCCATTTAGGGAATTCAAGGAGTTCCATTAGAACGTTTTCGTTCAACTCTAGGTTTTCCATGCTCATTTCACCCCTTAAAGCACTCAGCCTGACCTGATCAAGATCGACATTTTTAGCGAATCTACGGGTAATACATAAGCTGAATACATACATGGACAAGGGTTTTAGGATTTGCTGCTTGATCAGGGACGGCATTGCTCAGAATATTTTGTGACAATCAGCCTTAACCTTATCAGATACCCTTATTGCAAACTATCCAATTGAGTCAAAATTGCTGCACTGGCTAACTCAAGGTCAAATAATCGAAAATAGAAAGACTTTTAGAAACACGATAAACCTAAACAATGCAATGTACAAAAGACTTAATTCGTAGCTGCGTAAGTTTTTTAAGCCAATAAAAAAACGCTTTATGATACTTAAAAACTTAAAGAAGGGCTGCTACAATATCCACTTAAATTGTTAAAGGTTTATCTGCTTTAAAGTGCAAGATTAAAATTCCGATTCTTTGTCTAAAGTCAATTGCTAGAAATTAAGCTTATACCTATCATTTTTTGCTGAAAGAATGCGTCTTTGGATAAGTAACTATAACTTCGTCTTATTCCGCCCTTTGTGCAAAACCTATGTTTGCTTTTGCTTTGTTGTCGCAATCCCAACGTTACTAACAATGCTTGGAGTGCAGTTATTTTCATTGTGACTTATCTTCTAATAAAATAATTAGTTAGTGGCAATACGTATCTTTAGAAAATCGTTTTGTTTTAACCACTTTGTAGTTAGCCCTTCAAGGCGAAATTTTTTGGGTCGGCGTTAGGTGCGGGTTCTCTAGTGTTATTGATTGTTTACCTTTAGTTCATTAAGTATTCACTCAGTATCGTAAATGTTTTATATTAATGTCTTATTATCGTCACACGCATGCTTTTGCGCCCTAGCCTTTGTTCGTGCGCTTTTCTGTGTTATTTTGCAACACGCCGTTCCTTTGCTGCCGAATTGAATTTTGTCTTTTATATAGAAGTGCGCTTTGGTTACTTTACTGCTTCGCTTGGGAGCTTGTAATTGGGTACATCATAGCTTGCTCTACTTTAATCTCACGCCCCTCTTTATGACTTTTAATCTGCTTGTTCAATTTGCGGTATATCTTGTCTTCTTATTGTTCTCATATTTCGCCACATTGTACTGTCTGTAATTTTTGTCCTCTCCGTAGATACTCCTACCCTGACCTGGAAGTTTTTGCATTCATTTTGCGCCATCACTTTTTAATATATTTCGATGTGGCCTAAGTACTCTAAGTCATTATTATTGGCTTGCAGATTCATCGATGCGGAGCCTAGGTAACACTTCCTCCGCAAGCTTCCAAAGTGGCTTTGATAGCGGGTCGCTTGGTGGCTTTGATGCCATTGAATCTGTTATCGATGCGGAAATTGACGATGCCCCACTTGAATCTTCCCTGTCTTCCCAAAGCCCTTCCGAGGTGCGTCGAAATGTGTCCGGTTTGGCTATTTTGTTTCTTGATAATTCTATTTTATGGTACTTTTCGCATTCTATGGGCGTTAAAGCTTTTTATATGTAATCTCCCTCAAATGCAAATTCAAATTCATGTGTACTTTTCTACGTATTGTTAATGGTGAAGTGAATTCGTCAATAGATAAATGGAGTCGGGAAAACGCAGAACTCATTGCTATGCCTATTAACGGCTACCTTCATTCGCAACTTCTAGCTTTTAATGCTTGTCTGGCACTTGGTGCTAATCTCCAACTCAGGCATTTGTCTGCATTGATTGGCCTTTTTTTCTAGCGTCTTGAATCAGGTTCGATTGAGACTTTGAATCCGACCAATACCCAACCACTGCCCATTGAAGACCCTATCGAGGCTTACGACTCACTTGTCTCGCGCATGGCAACCGATGGTGTGGAGTGGATACCTCCAAAGCAGATAGCTAAAGGATTTCCTGATGGACTTTCACTTCATGACAATCCAGCACAGTGGCAAGATGTCAATGGACCTGACGACGTGAGTAACATCTTTGAAACGCAGTATCCAATCTCATGAATTCGTTGTACTGATGTGTCTGGTAAATTTTTGTAATTGAAAGCCTTAGACGCAGCCACCATAATCACTTATCTCAACTTACGCATTGACTTTCGTCAGTGCTTAAGACATCATCTTTACCTTAATTCCTGGACTCGTGAAACTACACCCAATGACGGTTGTAAATGTTTTGAAAGACTTTTGATTTTGAAGATCAGCTCATTTTAGGATAATCTTTCATCACGAAATGATTGATTGGTCTTAACTGGTTAATTGCTGTCTATGGCATGCAAATAGCTTCCAACTAGTTCATCTAAACATGAGTCATAAACTTTGCTTTTTTGGTCACCCTGTGGAATGCCGCAAGTTGAAATTGTTCGACTATCCTGGTTATGACACTATACATTATTAAGGCTGAGAGCTCTGCCAAAGTTCAGTAGAGGAGTCAGTTTTGGTCCGCCAATGTTTACTCCATGTCATGGCATCACTTTTGAGCAATGAGTGTATGCCACGTCATCTCACTGCTCATCCGCGCTACGTATTTACGGGCGTTTCCGCCCCTGCTACGGTGGTGACCATTTTGGTTCTCCAATTGGGACTGAAGTCCAACGTTTTGATTTACTGCGCTGGCGCTCTTGCACCGCTTTTGCTATGAATTCTAATTGCCTCTGTTTTGATAAATTGAGGAATCTAGTGTGTAAACTCAGTAATAAAAGTGTAAAATGTCGAGTTGGTTTAATTTGGAATTTGAATTTAAGTGCATGCCAATAGATATGAAGTGTTTTGCACTTGGCTATATCCGAGAACCTGGCCTTTGAACTGGTGGGTTCGACTCGTAAACATATTTGTACACAAACACGAAATGCTAATCCGTTTTGTTTCCAGGGCGCCGTCACATCACACTGCTGGTTCAAGCGCCATGCGATTACGTCTTGGTTTTCCTCACTTCACTCCCTCTGGTTAGGTTTAATCGTCTTTAATTCTGGAATCCTTTTTGTTTACTATCGTCTCCCAGCAACTACTCGCCTTTATGAACATGTAGCGCATGTAAACACGCCTTGTCAGCTTTTTTTTTGCTGTCTCATGTTCAAAGCTCTTCTAACATGTTACCCTCTCCTCCTTATCAAGGTTACTACACCAACAAAAGTTCAAGAAGAAGTCACTCTTAGTGACGCCCGTCAGACTCCTCATCCGGCAGAGTCGTCTGAACTCTCCAATAGGTAAGTTCCTAATATTTATGCTTTAATGCATAGCATAGGCTTAGACGAGTGATACATGCATTGTAACATCTTTTGTTCCTTTGCAAAAAGACTTATCTGGCTTGTTTATTTTCTGAAAAACCTTATTGTGACTATTCCTGTGCTCACGAGTTGGTTAACCGCTCTTTGCGTAATAATGGTACAGCTGTTTGTATAAGCTGTCTTTTTGTGTCAACCTCTAATCAGCTTAGTCATTTGTCATCGTCATCGTCATCATCATCCATCCGTGGGATCAGGTTTAGCGCACTACTTGTTACTACTTCCCTTGATACTGCTGTTCCATATGCATCAATTAACTTTTCGGAGGTGAGTAATGTTGGTTCTGGCAAGCGAGTTGTGTCTTGTATGGCAGTCTGTAGCATTGGACGGGCGTGGTTCAAATGCAATGTTCTCCTCTACCATCGATGATTAGTTGATTCATCATGCTAGTCAGTGAAGCAGAAGCGTTAGTCCAAAAAATGGGCCCTGGGTGTCATGACATCTCCTTCAAACCTCCGGGTTGAGCCTCCAAGATGACTGTTATCGTGCTTACACAAGCATCCTAAGCACGAGTTGTCAGGCTTTCTATAAGGTCTGAATACACTTTCGTTCCACTATTTAGCAAAGATGTTCTATCAATTCTAGCTGAATTTCGCAGACCTTTTTTGTGCAGCATTTCAACGCAGATTTGGAATGATTTACACCGTGAGTTTATTGGGCCACTGCCTCATTCTCCAGGTCAATTGCGTCTTCAAGTCGTACCAAACTCTGATTTGCTGAACTGCACAGCTCCATCAGTCTGATTCTACTTACGATAACCTCATTTATACCCCTTATCTCGGGTCATTAAGCATTGAGTGATAGAACGAAATGGTCTGTGCCCTCCTTTGAGGCTTTGGAGGGAAGAATGGTGTTGTATTTTTTAACTGTGAATCATCATGTAACTGGCCCAAAATGAACAGAACTGATACACAGTTGTGATTCACACGCACACACTGAAACACCCTTCTTCACCCTAATATATCGCACCGCAGTGTGGAATGGGCTGGAGGAGGGGGTGCCAACTTGTTTTGTTGCCATGGTGTACACACACACATACGCACACTCGAGTGCTTGTAGGGCAATGTTTTGCCCACGAAAAGGGCGTAGTTTGTTGTTATGCAGTACAACGGCTTCGTGTTGCTTACAAATGTTACCCATCTCCTGATGTCCGCAATCATGCATTTCCCTATGGTTAGTCATCAGCAATACTAACACGTGTACATGTAGGTGTTCACATTGGAGGGTAAAGGCTGACACTGAAACAATCGGTTGCATTTTTGCTCACTGGAATGTCCTTTTCTACCACTGGGAGGCAAAACAACTG